GCAGTGCTACCAGACACGACACGCCACACTAGCAGTGCTACCAGGCACGACACACCGCACCAGCAGTGCTACCAGACACGACACGCCACACCAGCAGTGCTACAGACACGACACACCACACCAGCAGTGCTACCAGACACGACACACCACACCAGCAGTGCTACCAGACATGACACACCACACCAGCAGTGCTACCAGACACGACACACCACACCAGCAGTGCTACCAGACACGACACACCACACCAGCAGTGCTACCAGACACGACACACAACGCCTGCAGTGCTACCAGACACGACATGCCACACTAGCAGTGCTACCAGACACGACACGCCACACTAGCAGTGCTACCAGACACGACACGCCACACTAGCAGTGCTACCAGACACGACACGCCACACCAGCAGTGCTACCAGACACGACACACCACACTAGCAGTGCTATTAGACACGACACACCACACTAGCAGTGCTATCAGACGCGACACACCACACTAGCAGTGCTACCAGACACGACAAACCACACTAGCAGTGCTACCAGATACGACACACCACACCAGCAGTGCTACCCGACACGACACACCACACCAGCAGTGCTACCAGACACGACACACAATGCCTACAGTGCTACCAGACACGACACGCCACACTAGCAGTGCTACCAGACACGACACGTCACAGTAGCAGTGCTACCAGACACGACACGCCACACTAGCAGTGCTACCAGACACGACACACCACACCAGCAGTGCTATCAGACACGACACACCGCACTAGCAGTGCTATTAGACACGACACACCGCACTAGCAGTGCTATCAGACGCGACACACCACACTAGCAGTGCTACCAGACACGACAAACCACACTAGCAGTGCTACCAGACACGACACACCACACTAGCAGTGCTACCAGACACGACAAACCACACTAGCAGTGCTACCAGACACGACAAACCACACTAGCAGTGCTACCAGATACGACACACCACACTAACAGTGCTACCAGACACGACAAACCACACTAACAGTGCTACCAGACACGACAAACCACACTAGCAGTGCTACCAGACACGACACACCACACTAGCAGTGCTACCAGATACGACGCACCACACTAGCAGTGCTACCAGATACGACACACCACACTAGCAGTGCTACCAGACACGACACACCACACAAGCAGTGCTACCAGACACGACACCACACAAGCAGTGCTACCAGACACGACACGCCACACTAGCAGTGCTACCAGACACGACACGCCACACTAGCAGTGCTACCAGTCACGACAGGCCACACTAGCCATGCTACCAGACACGACACGCCACACTAGCAGTGCTACCAGACAGGACACACCACACTAGCAGCACTACCAGACACGACACACCACACTAGCAGTGCTACCAGACACGACACACCACACTAGCAGTGCTATGAGACACGACACACCACACTAGCAGTGCTATCAGACACGACACACCGCACTGTGCTATTAGACACGACACGCCACAGTAGCAGTGCTACCAGACACGACACGCCACACTAGCAGTGCTACCAGACACGACACACCACACCAGCAGTGCTATCAGACACGACACACCGCACTAGCAGTGCTATTAGACACGACACACCGCACTAGCAGTGCTATCAGACGCGACACACCACACTAGCAGTGCTACCAGACACGACAAACCACACTAGCAGTGCTACCAGACACGACAAACCACACTAGCAGTGCTACCAGACACGACACACCACACTAGCAGTGCTACCAGACACGACACACCACACTAGCAGTGCTACCAGACACGACAAATCACACTAGCAGTGCTACCAGACACGACACACCACACTAACAGTGCTACCAGACACGACAAACCACACTAGCAGTGCTACCAGATACGACACACCACACTAGCAGTGCTACCAGACGCGACACACCACACTAGCTGTGCTACCAGACACGACACACCACACTAGCAGTGCTATCAGACACGACACACCACACTAGCAGTGCTATTAGACACGACACCACACTAGCAGTGCTATCAGACGCGACACCACACTAGCAGTGCTACCAGACACGACAAACCACACTAGCAGTGCTACCAGATACGACACACCACACTAGCAGTGCTACCAGACACGACACACCACACTAGCAGTGCTACCAGACACGACACACCACACTAACAGTGCTACCAGACACGACAAACCACACTAGCAGTGCTATACGCTGCTATTCACGATTCGATCAAAAAAAAAAATACACGTACAAAGACAACAATACCCGCATAAACGCAGCTAAAGCTTGGACAAAGAATAAAAACAAAAGATCTACTTGAGGTAAAGAAAGAGAAAGAGTTAGAGGATCACGAACGAACGGCAGGAACAAAAGCGATGCGCAGAATGGTAATGCGGATATAAACAACAAAAGACCTCTGACTGACGCCGAAAGAAAGAAAAACAGAAGGGAAAAAGAATTAAGCTTGAGAGGGGATAGGACAAGAGAGGAGAATAATGGGTACACAGACAACAAAATTTATCATACAACACAGAACAAGGGAAGGAGGAGAGAGAGAGGGGGAGGAAAGGGAGGGATGAGAGAGGGGGGAGAGGAAAGAAAGGGATGGGAGGGAGGAATGAAGGGAAAAAATAGGAAGAGACAAAGGGAGAACCAGAGGGAAAGAGTAAAAAAGGGAGAAAAATGAAAACAAAAGAACCAAGGAAGGATACGGGAAGAAACGTGAAATACAAACGAAAGAAATGAAATAAAAAATAAATATATAAACAGAAGTCTTGAAGCACAGCAGTATTTACCAGCCACACGCACCCGATGGGAATGTCGGGAATCGGGAATAACTGGGAATACTGGAACCGTTGATGCTGCAGGCGGCGAGAAGAGGTATAAAGGGAATAGCGTTCCCACAAGTCACCTGGAATAGGTTTACGGAGGCGGGGATATATAGGCTGGTGCACCTGGGGATATATACACTGGTGCACCTGGGGGTATATACGCTGGTGCACCTGGGATATATACTGGTGCACCTGGGGGTATATACGCTGGTGCACCTGGTGATATATACACTGGTGTATCTGGGGATATATACACTGGTGTATCTGGGGATATATACACTGGTGTATCTGGGGATATATACACTGGTGTATCTGGGGATATATACACTTGTGCACCTGGGGATATATACACTGGTGCACCTGGGGATATATACGCTGGTGTACCTGGGGAATACACTCGCCTACCGGAACACTTCCCAGATATGACCTGCACACCCAGGCACGGAAGCATCGCACGACCAGACTACAAGGATAGACGGAACGGAAAGACAGCAGGGTCAGATGGCAGGGCCAGAAGTCACGAGAAAACCCTGAAGAGAAATACAAATTTCAGCCCAAAGTGAAAATAATTCAAGGATGTCCTGCAGTGACAGACTCGAAGTACAGATCTGATGCTAGTTTAACTGCCATCGGGAAAGAATGTAAACCTGGAATAAGGAAAGAGCGGAAGCACTCAGAAGAGCTACGCCAAAGCGCTAAATAACGAAGCCAGGTATAACACTCAAAATACAGAGGAAGATGCAGATAATTCTAAAATAACAGAGTGAAATCTGAGCCAAAGCTATTACGGTCGCACAGGAAGGAAAATTTAAGATCACATCGTAAGGAAAATCACACAAAAAAAAAACAGAAGAGCTCAAGGAAGGTCGTCCAGCATCTTCTGGAGCAATGAATGGCCAGCGACTGAAATAGACACACGTCATACTAAATCTCCCGAACACTGAAATTACTGAATAAGTGATCAGACTTCTGAAGGAATTTGACAGTCGAAACTTGACAGGCAGACCCGATAAAGTATCCCAAAAAATATTTGAAGTTGACAAAAATTAAAGGAAGCGGCTTAACTAGAGCAAGTGAGAAAGAAATATAGACCACTGGAAGGTTGATGATATTATCCAGTATTCAAGAAGGGAGAATAGTTAACCTTCACATCGGACAATGAAACTAATGACGTTTCAGTTCTCACCTGGACCATTAACCACTGACTAGTTAATGGTACAAGTGGGGACCGAAACGTCATTAATTTCATTCTATGTGAGGGTTATTATGTATTGTTCCAGTCACGGTATTGCGCCTTTTTATTCTTTATCCAAGAAAGGCATCAGACAAGTGGTCCTGAACTCCAGATCCGTATCTGTGAGAAACGTCTCATCAAAGTCCATGGAGAGTATAATAAGCGCCTAGTCGTGTGTCTGTCTCGTGATAAACAGACGGAGGGTCGAGCCTCCACCACTCGTTGCGCTGAATGAACAACACGGGTCTAGCACTTCATATATCACAATAATAGAAGGAAAAAATGCTTGGGGAGTGCGGCCATCCTCGCCGAGCACCAGCACTGCTTCACCATTAGTAAGATTGCCTCTCAAACCTAATTGAAGCCCTCGAAGACCTTGACGGGCTGCAAGACTGGTCGTGCAAGTGGCCACTGGAGATCAACCACACAGCCTGGCAATTAAACGTGGGAAAAATATAAACATTGCACTAAACACGCTTACTTAGGCGAATAGTTCCAAACATGGTACTTGGATTTTATATCCTTTGCATACAAGATAATCATACTGCTAACGTAGGTAGGAGGTCGTGGTATCAAACCAAGGACCAGGAGCAAACATTATCTCAATCCTATCATTTAAAACACGAATAACATGGCAAACATTCAGTTATCAAACAATGTCTGGCTTCCAAAGACCTGTAAGATGCCTTCATGTTGCTATTCAGCCATTCATCACAGGTACGTTGAACAAGTCTTCGAGTACAATGTATGGAAATCTTTCATGGCCAGTTGAAAAAAGACAAATGGAGTCCTTCATTTGTACAGCATTCCGTCCAACACTGAGCTTTATCAAGTACTTGATAAAGCTCAACACTGAGTGAAACTTGGTACAGATAAAAGGATTCTTGCTTTCACCAGCTCTCAGCATCTTGCCATTATCTCATCTCGTAGCGAAACACAATGATGCTTCAGAGGTCCAAGTTTTCCCTCCAAACTGTTGCCACAGCTGAGAGAAATGAGCGAAAAGTCACATGTTTCCCGTACATCAGACACTATCACCGAAGCCAAACGGATCAAGAGGAGACACGATAACGACATAGAAGATACTCGACGTATTCTATGCAAAGTGTTATAAGCCACGTGAGTTTTATATCGCAATCTGAATGTATTTACAAATTAGAAAATGGTAAGATATACCTGCCACCTTAAATGTTCATGAGGAAAAGAGCAAAGATCAGCATTTTAAAGTGCAAAACATTTAACATATGCAAAAGGCTCCAGGGTTTAGACAGGATAGACAAGGACAAACACGCCCCCACCCCTTCACCTTTCCCTCCTACACCATTACAAATTCCCCTACTCCCCGCCGCCTGCCAAATTCTACTCTTCCCCTCCCATCCTTTCACTGCTACCTCCCTCTCCTGCATTGCCCACAACCCCTCTCTCTCCCCACCAGTCACCCTGCTGTTGCTAGTGGCGCTAATCTCGCCAGATTTGTTGTGCAATAACGTAGCAGAGACTGTCGTCAGGCAGAACGAGACACCTAGGTAGGCAGCTGGCTGACTGGCAGGCAAGCTGGCTGGAAGGCAGGCAGGCTGGAAGGCAGGCAGGCTGGAAGGCAGGCAGCTAGCTGGCTGGCTGGTTGACAGGCTGGAGGCAAAAGATAGCCTGAAACAGAGCTCTCTTTTTTTTCTATGCTATCCTGACATCATCTAGACAGACGCAGCGAGAGATAGAGAACCTTAGTTCTGCTCAAGAGAGAGCCTCAACGTAGCAAACAAGATCTGTTATCGGTTTCCCCCTTCAGCCTCTTCTCGTACGTCGAGTAATCTTAAAAGATTTCGACGTTTCCCGGTTATCTTCCACCGTTGCTAAATGTACGCTTTTGTTAGGCTGATGTAATCTAACGTAACCCAACCTATCTTTAAATGTAGAAAAATGGCGTCAAGAAATCGACGTTGGGAACCTCGTAAGAAATGAATGCACTAAGAGTTAGTTAAAGGTAGTTTCCTCTCTCTCTCTCTCTCTCTCTCTCTCTCTCTCTCTCTCTCTCTCTCTCTCTCTCTCTCTCTCTCTCTCTCTCTCTCTCTCTCTCACTAAAACCACCTTAACATTGCCTCAACTGGAACAGTATGCAAACCAGGGTATATTACTCAAGCATGAAGCACAGACGCAGGCTCTACTCCCGCAACAAGTAAACAATAACTCCCAAACTTCAGCACCAAGATTTCAACACAGAAAACAGCTCGTCACTGTTGCTGCACTTCGGTTTGCGCAGCACTGCAGTATTTACATAATAGTAATGGACCAAATTAGCCTATAGCGAGTTTAGAAAATGAAAGAAGTGCTGTGCAGATTGTTGGATTTCATAAAGCTCTGTCCAGACCGAAACGTTGTCATAATAAAAACTGGTTCTACACCTGTCTTAATTTGTTTCGAGTGTGTACTGTAGTACCCAGAAGTATATTTCGGTTTCACACTTAAGTCTCCTCAACCGTCTGCTGATAAGGACCTCAGAGGACTGAAAAAACATCTATTCTTACCTTATTATTCAATGTTTTCTCCGTGTAGCTTCATTCGGACAAGATTAAAGGTAAACAATATCGACAAGATGGTCAATAAGTGAAGCTCTGGTGTCCTTAACATACTTTTCATCCCCCAGGGGCCGAATCGATTTAATGATTGATAAAGCCGATGGTGGGCGAAACCTCGAACCAACGGATGACGGGACAGACGGATGGATGAACTGGCGACTTAAACGAATGAAGCAAAAGATAAGTCTGTACGGGAGGACTCTCGCAGAGTCTTAGGAACACTTACACTCAATGCCGGGTTACCGCATGGAAAAAGAACTGGACCGGGACTCTACCGGCGAAGCACTTCGAACTCAAACTTACACTCTGTCGAGGAGGTTGGTGAAGCCGTGAGCCACCAGCATACAGAAGCCCATGGAAGGCATGTAGAGCACCCGCTCAGCCACAACGAACCCCACGGGGAAGAAGAGGTTGGTCGCCGGCAGGAAAGGCAGCACCAGGAACGCCAGAGACTGAAAGAGACAGAGGAGAAAATTCATTTATTATTACACAAATAACTCGCACAAGGAGAGAAGCTTATAACTACGTTTCTATGTGCGAGATGTGCATTGTTCCAGTCATGGTATTGTGCCTTATTGCTCGTTATTATTAATCTAACGGACAAGCAGTAAGCCTTACGGGGAGGGGGGGGGATGAAGCGGCTGGGAAAAGAAGTAATCAAGTGTGATCCGAGGAAGGGGAGTGTAGCTCTAATTCCATGAATCAAGAGCACTCCAGCACCATAGTAACATACAAAAAAAAACTTAGAATATCACTAATACAAACTCGCAATAAAAAAGAAAAAAAGGCTGCGATTCATTTTGAATAAAATGTACATAATAACATTGTATCATTATATCAGTATAATGACAACGAAAACTAATAATTGAAATGAGTAGAAAGACACACTGTGAAAGACTATTAAATTTATACATCCATAATTTTAATATTTTTGTATTTTTCTTATACAAAATAAAATGTAAATCTTTTCACTGCAATCGGAAAGGTGACATTATATATATATATATATATATATATATATATATATATATATATATATATATATATATATATATATATATATATATATATATATATATATATATAAAATATGTCGTGGCGAATAAGTAAAACTGGTCAATTAAGAAGAACTCATTTAAAATTAAGTCCTTTCTAAAAAATCTCTTATACATTTAAAAATATAATTTTTTCATTTACGTTAATATAAAAACTAATGATTTTGTACCAAAAGAACCTTAGAAAACTTACCTAACCTTATTATAACAAGCGGAACTTAATTTAGCCTAATCCAACTAAATATGTTTTATATAGGTTTACAATAATTTAATAATATACAAACACAATGAAATATATATATTTTGTTAGGTTCAGAATGATTTTTGCGAAATTACTGCATACACAAATTTTCGCTTGCCCTATTCGGCAAGAAGTGCGTTGCTATTTAAGCCAACATCGCAAGTTTTACGTATATATATAATTGTGTTGGAAAGGAGTGGCCCACACTGGCTATGGTCTGTGATTCTCTTCGGCAGATATTAAACAATGAAAGAAACACGTTAAATACCTGATGTGAATACGGAATTCAGTCAGTAAGCAAATTCCAGCAAGCATGTGTGCGGAATTCTTCGCAAAAGCACCTGTATACATCCCTATGAAGGCTATCTAAACTATGAACTATACAAACTCCAACCAAAGGACTCCATATCAACTCTCAAGTCCCCAAAACAGTATTTAGGAGTCAAGTCATTCCTGGATTTGGGTGACTGGCTCGCGTGTTTAAGACAAGCCAATGGAGACGTGGTTATACTCTGGTAACTAATTTAAACCTAATTACCAACCAACACGTCCTCCTTAGCGAAAGTCGAAACCTGGGTACTGAATAAATTCAAATGGGTTAAGTACGGGATTACATTGACAACTGCTTATGTGGGGATTATTGAAGAACAATGGGAGGGAAGGATTTCATGGGATTTAACAAAGTGAATGAAAAAGGTGGTGAATTAATAGGATTTACCGTGAGGATCAGCAAAGTAAATTAAAAGGATTTTTGGCGAGGGGAGGAATGAAGGGAGAGAAAGAGAGAGAGAGAGAGAGAGAGAGAGAGAGAGAGAGAGAGAGAGAGACAGACACAGACAGGCAGAAACAATGACATTATATTTGTCCAACAAGGACAAACTTATATATATATATATATATATATATATATAATATATATATATATATATATATATATATAATAGTGTATATATATATATATATATATATATATATATATATATATATATATATATATATATAATGTGTATATATATATATATATAATGTGTATATATATATATATATAATGTATATATATAATATATATATATAATGTGTATGTATATATATATATATATATATATATATATATATATATATAATGTATATATATCACACATTTACATATTTTTTACTCAGATATGCACACACATTTACATATATTTTTACTTAGATATGTACATACATTTACACAAGTTTCACGCACACATTATTGTAGTTATAAGACAGCACAGAATATAAACGACAGGTAATATATTCACGTAGAGGCATTAAACCCATGGACGTCATACAACACCTGGAGAGAGAGAGAGGCAGGCAGGCATGTTTGATCCATGGAAGTGGAGGGAAATTCCAACAGTTATACGTCCAGAGACACCAAGCATTTTGTGGTTCTGGGTAGAGCCTGAGGAATGTGTAGCAGCAGCAGCAGTAGTGATAGTAATAGCAGTAGTAATAGTGGTGTAGTAGTAGTAACAGTAGCAACAGTAACAGTAGTAGCAACAGTAACAGTAGTAGCAGCAGTAATAGTAGCAACAGTAACAGTAGTAGCAACAGTAACAGCAGTAGCAACAGTAACAGTAGTAGCAGCAGTAACAGTAGTAGCAGCAGTAATAGTAGTAGCTACCAGCTGTCAAAGGCACTTGTCGATAGACACTTGGCCTGTTTCTCTCGTGTGTGTGTGTGTGTGTGTGTGTGTGTGTGTGTGTGTGTGTGTGTGTGTGTGTGTGTGTGTGTGTGTGTGTGTGTGTGTGTGTGTGTGTGTGTGTTCAGAAGCTGAACAAAGTCACCACCAACTACTGGAGTATGCAAATAAATTCGCCCCTGTGGGTTATTTGCATATACAGAGACGTTTTATCAGATAACGGAAGCAATTAACAAGTAATAAGAAATATCTGACAGCTGCTGCTGGTGTGTAATTAACTTGTATCACAAACCAATTACGGACGATCATTCTCAAGTTCTTGGAAAATTGGACGTTTCGTGAGGGGCCATTCGACAGTCAGGTGTATTGGGTAATACATGGCATTCAGGTGAGCAGCACACACCAATCAGATGAGCACACAACAATCAGGTGAGCACACAACAATCAGGTGAGCACATAGGTGTATTGGCGGAATACGACAATCAGGTGCAAAGGAACACACCAATCAGAGGTGTGTGTTAGTTACCATTTTGTCCTAGGCACATGTCGATTAGACACTAGGCCTGTTGTATATGCGTGCGTGCATATATATATGTCGTGCCGAATAGGCAGAACTTGCTATCTTGGCTTAAATAGCAACGCTCATATTGCCAAATAGGACAAGTGAAAATTTGTGTATGCAATAATTTCGCCAAAATCATTCTGAACCTAACGAAAAAAATATATTTCACTGTGTTTGTTTAGTATTAAATTACTGTAAACAAATCTAAAATACATTTGGGTGGGTTAGGCTAAAATAAATTGAGCTTGTTATAATAAGGTTAGGTAAGTTTTCTAAGTTCATTTTGGTGCAAATTATAAATTTTTACATCAACATTAATGAAAAAAATATATCTTTAAGCGTATAAGAGAAAATTTTAGAAAGGACTTAATTTTAAATGAGTTCTTGCTAATTGACCAGTTTTACATATTCGGCACGACATATATATATATATATAATATATATATATATATATATATATATATATATATATATATATATATATATATATATATATACACACACACACAACACACACACACACACAGAGGTATGATAAAGCTCATGGTTCAGGGAGAGTGACCTAGTAGCGACCAGTGAAGAGGGGGGCCAGGAGCTTGGACTCGACCCCTGCAACCTCAACTAGGTGAGTACAACTAGGTGAGTACACACACACACACACACACACACACACACACACACACGTCGTGGAATCTGAACGTGAAATAACCCCCTTCCCCCTTAGAGAGTTTAAAATATGTGATAGTGTCCCTCGCCAGACTTGACAAAGTCCTGATGAAAGTGTCGTCACAATCTGTTCAGTACTCATGGAGTGTGACACAAACAGCTCAGTATTGATGACGAAAGATCAGACATCAAACTCTGAAGGCAACAGACGAAACACCGGGGCTTCAAACCTGAAACCTTATAGCGAGAGACCATATAATAAAAACTAATAGCAAAAACACACACCAAGGGTTACTGACGAAAAATCAAAGGCCCAGACACCGACTGCTGACAGCAGAAAACCAGACACAAAGTGCAAGTAACTAGAGACCAAAATGGGGTAGAACGTTAGATTATGGATGCTCTCGAGTTTCGAGAGTCTTACTACTAGGAGCCCGGCCATAGGCCAGGCAGTAGCTTACCATAACGACGACCTGGGCATGGTGACGATGGGCAACAAAGAGCGCATGGTAGGACAGCTTCGTCAACACCGCAAACACCGCCAGCGTCCCCAAGTTTCTGAAACAAAAAGGAAAAAAAAAGTTGGACAAGTTGTACATATGAAGGCAGTCATGGTGGTGGTGGTGCTTCGTAACACACACCTCGTTGCTGGTGAAATTAAGACAACACTTTTGATAGTTATTAGACCAGGAAGGCCTGGTCAAGGGCTGGGCCGCGGGGGCACTGACCCCCTCAACACCCTTTAGGTAGCCCCCAGGTAGATAGAAAAGGCAGAGTTGCGAAGAGACAAAATAATAAGAACCACTCCAGAAGAATCTCACCATCATTCTTTGTAGAAAAATCATCTTCGTCAGTTAAAAATCATTATTTTTCTTATTATTCCTTTTTCTTCACATTTTTAACTTTGAATGTAAAGACATACAAACATCACAAACATTCACATTTTTTCCGACGGCGCAAGAACACAATAACAGTAAAAACAGAAAAAAATATTCATCATTTGATTTCTATTTTTTTTAAATAATATTTTCGCGCGTGCCAATGGGAAGCCCCATGAAATGTTTATTTTCTTCCATTGGGAGTGTCAACGCCAGTAAAAACAGTGGCTGTTTTTCCTATTTCGCCCAAATGATGCTTTTAATGTCCCATGTAAATGTGCCAGATTTTATGCTGTTAATTGTATGTAAACACAAGCCGCATTTTATTTTTTTCCCAAACAACCTTATGGACTTGCTGAATAAATACGTTTTTGAGCAATCTTTTTTTTCTCTCTCTCTTTACGCTGTTGTATATCGTAATTTTTTTTCACTTTCTTGGCATTCAAAAAAAACTCTTTACACTTGATTTTTCAGAATTCATAGTTGAAAAAAAAAAAGGTACGTTTTGCCTGCAGTTATGTCATCCTGTACACCTGCTGCCCTCTGTTTGTCTAATAGTAAATAGGTATCTGGGAGTTGGAAGTCAGCTGGTTCTTGTGTGGCATCCTAGCAAAGAGGAGGAAGGACCCTCACGGAAATATGCCAAGTTTCGTGGCTTCATAGGTTAACGTAGGTTAGTAAGTCACGGGGATACGCTAAACCCGTGGGGATCAATAGAACCCAGAGATTATGAAGTAATCAGATGTGAACCGAGGAAAGGCACCTTCAGTTCCTTGGTTCGAGAACTCTTCACCAGCTTCAAGGCGCACTCTCCCTTTCAGGGTTCTTGTTTAATAACTCCTCGAAGTGTTTTATTCTAATCTAAATACTGAATCCCTAAAATAATACTTTACTAAAGCATCATTCCTAGAATTTCCTCCCTGGAATCTGTCGTGCAACACCTGGTCTGAGATCGGGCTGCGAGGGCGATCATTCCCGGATCCATCAATAGGTAAACGGGCACCAACGTCTTTCACACTCGTGTAAAAAGCACCGGGGCACTGGGAGGCATGTGCCTCCCTGGAATCCCTCGTCTCTGCACTGTGGCAACTATGATCACTCACCTGTCTCTCCCTGGAATACTTTTATCTCTTCAAGCTCCTTCAATCTCTATCAATTACTCTATTAATCTGGGAACCACACACATAAAAATCCCACACCTCTTCTAATTCCCCAAGGGAAGCTCGTCCTCATATATCTTCATTAATCTCCATTCACAAGCCTGTGTAATCCGCTCTACGGGATTTTTTTTTCCTGCTAATCTCTCAATTTCCCTCCATCGTGATAAATTATTTCGATTTAATCGTTTCTCTTTAAAATATAATTCCGTGAACCGAAAAAAAAAAAACTGACGGCAAACTTGATTCATCATTTTTTTAATCCACTAATGGTAATTTATCACAAATTTCACCTATTTTTTCATCATGGAATAACTCCAACAATGGAAGACAAAACACTGTAAGCAGGTGATTCGCAAATATTTTATGAAGGGAAAACTTGATGAAGAAACAGTCACGGTACCGTGTCTGGAACAATGTACCAAAACCCCGAACTTAAGAGAGGACCTTATGACAGCGTTTCGGTCAGTTCCTGGACCATTTTCCAATCTGACTTGACAAATGTTCAGAACAGACCGAAACGTCACCATGAATGCGGGGTTTTGATGAAGGGAAAATCGTAATAAAATTTCACCCAATAACAAACCCCGGTCTTCGAGAGGGATTTTTTGCAAGTTCTTCCATCAGATAAAACTGACGAGTTTCGAGAGTTTTTCTGCCCTCACAACCTGCCCTAGGGGAGCCATGATTTTTTTGGCATATACAGTCATTACAGCCTGGTTGATCTGATACTCGGCCGAAGTAGTAATCCAGTTTCTACTCGGAGACGTCTAAAACTTGTTCCGGAAATATTTCCGATATCTGCTGGTAGCAGCTTGAATAGTCTTGAACCACAGGATGATGACACATTATTCTCGTAGTGTGCCTACGGCGCCCTTACTTTTCATTTGGTCTAATGTACACTACCTACTATATTTTTTCTCTTTCTCACCCTCTCTCCAGTACGTTATGACAGTGGGTAGATTTTAGACCTGGCTATACAGGATCCTCCTTATCAACGAGGGGTATAGTGCCCTTACCTGAGGTCTGTGAAGCTTTCGACGAGGGGTATGGTGCCCATGGTCCAGTCACAGCAGAGGGCCGAGGGCAGCAAGAGTAGACCAGTGTTGACACTTAGCAAGTAGTTGTAGGTGAGTTGACGTGTAGGTGTGGGCGCCACACTAGCAGGGTTGTCAAACCTAGAAGCAAGAGAAACGAGCTAGTTAGCCGGCGCAACTAGCAGGGCTTAGGTACGTCCTTAGGTCTGAGAGTTACTGTCATATTTATGGGTCATTAGAAAATCTTAGTAGGGTCTATTTAAGGAGGTCAGTAGACTTAGTGGGAGGTTAATATACTGAACTTTGTTGGCTAGAGTCAGTCTAGTAAATGTGGGGAGAGCGGGTTGGGGGAATAGGGAAAGAATGGAGGAGAGAAGAAATGGGATAGGTGAGGAGAACTAAGGAAGGTAGAGGTCAGCTGATCAGTGTTCTCAAGGACCAGCTGATCATTACTGTTAAGGATCTGATCATTGTTGACGGATGGAAAACAAACTGGATGCATGGGCAATAAACTGGGTGGAAATAAATTGGCATAGTGGGGAAATAACTTGACGAGGTGGGAAATAACCTGACGGGATGGGAAATAAACTAACAGAATGGGAAATAAACTGACGGGATAGGAAATAAACTAGCTAGGTACGCTAGTAATATCACTGCAATAGAGATATATTAATCGGTTGGAAAGTAAAGTGGACAAAGGGAAGCAAGGAGAACGAAGGGAAATAAAAAGAAATAAAGAGGACATGGTAAAGTATCATGAATGATGGCAATAAACCACTGAAAATTATTATAATAGTATCTGACTGAGTGGGAATTACTGGGTTCGGAATTACCAGCTTGAGTGGGAATTATTAGTTTTATTGGCAGTTATATATAGTGCTCAGAGCTTGAGATTATATTTAATTTTGAAGCGCTAAACCGGTAGGGGTTTATCAAGTGTTAATCAAGAGCCCTTCATCGACATTTAAAAGTTAAAATAACTGAGTGGTTTTTCCAGGCTATGAATAATAATAATTATATTTATTGGGAAACGCAAAACCCATATGGGTCATACAGCACCTGGAGGAATGGAAGGCTATCAAGTTTGATCCAAGGAAGTGGAGATCTGATTGAATTCTCTGGATCAAGAGCACTTCCCCAGCATCAAAGCACCTCTCATGTGGATCATTTAATGAACTGACTGACTGACCTGGTGAAGACGGGTAGCTGGGCCCCCATAACATGGACCCTGGCCAACATGAGGCCCAAGGTAGTGGCCACCAGCACGAAAACGCGGGGGGCCATGTCTGCCAACCAGGGGGGCACTGACCCCTTACCAGACACCACCCCCTCCCCGAACTGCAGTAGTTCCCACCCGCGCACCTGTAAAAGGTGGAGAGAGCAGGTGTAATTAACACACGTGTGGAAGACATCTCACTTGTAAGCAGATACTGAATGACCATACAACTATACACATACATACATACATAATTTAAAGGGCCAAGTGTCTACTCACAAGTGCCTTTCACAAACAACAACACTCACACACACACACACACACACACACACACACACACACACACACACACACGGAGCAGGGAGTGCGTGGACCTAGTAGCGACGAGAGAAGAGGCTGGGTCTGGAGCTATGACTCTACCCCTGCAACCACAAATAAGCAAGTATAGTTTAGTACATACACACACGCCTGGCCTTTGACGACTAGTAATTAAGTGAATACAAGTTAATTAACTTGACTCAGGTTGACTGACATTGACGAAAGTGACTCAATAACATTTTACTTAGACGGGAACGTTGTCTTCAGTCAAATAACATTTACTCTCTACATATCGTTTCACCAGAGTTGCAACCCTGTCTGTCACCTTGTGTTTACAATCACTATTAAGATGGTTAGTTTATTGTGAACCCAGCAGGGACGATGACTGCTAGTTTGTCTATGCCTTGTCCATCCATCCTGTGGATTGATATGGGATAGATGCAAGAGCACATAGATAAAAATATACATATCCGTTGCAAGAAAATTTATAATATTTGCTTAACATGTCTGGTATTTTATTTTCATCAGTATACCGTGACATATCGCTTAAATTCTTTCACTGGTATTCCTGTACCTTTATCTGTAATAAAGTTGATACGTTAGCCAAAAAAAAAATATCTGAAGGGAAAGGTAGACTATAACTTTGGTGTATCTGTGTCTAACATTAGGAATAATATAAGGAGAGAAGTAAATAATGATACGGAATGTTATAGGAATACAATCAGAAGCCTGAATAGATCTTGAGCATTACGTACATTATTGTACACTTACTGATGAATATAGAAATAGCATAATAACCTATGTGATATGTTAGGATATTAATAAAAGTAAGATACTAGACATATTAATCAAATTTCCTAAGTTTTCTTGCAACATACAAGTTAACTGTAGATATAAACTCAGATCTACTCCTGTAAACCCCTTTAGGGCCTAGTTCCTAGGCCTGTCGTGTATCCATATGCTCTTGCGCTACCCTCCACAGGATGGATATGAGGTGCACAATAAACTACCCGCTTCGGCGGCAAAATCTAATTCTAAAATCCCAGCGTAATACTAGAAAAAAAAAAAAAAACTAATTCTCGACCCCAGAGATCCAAAACACGTTACGGCAATACGAAATTTGGGTCCCCCAGCAGTAAGTAATTCACGGCGTGAACACCAGGGTGTCAGGCCTCGCTCCCCCCTCCCCACCACCACACCTCCCGACCTCCCCCACAAACGTGAAAAAGAGAGTAAAACATTTCAGATAAAACTGTAACGCGATCATTACCACAATATACATGATTCATAGGCGGATGCGGGAAAAAAAATATAAATCAGTGATAAACGTAGTGCGGGGGAGGGTTGTGCACTCCCACACACCCCATTCCTCATTTGCATTCAGAACGGGGAAAAAAAAAAAAGTTTCCCCTGCTATCACACACACACACACACTAGTAGCGATCAGTGAAGAGGCGGGGCCAGGAGCTTGGACTCGACCCCTGCAGCCTCAACTAGGTGAATACACACACACACACACACACACACACATAGTAGCGATCAGTGAAGAGGCGGGGCCAGGAGCTTGGACTCGACCCCTGCAGCCTCAACTAGGTGAGTACACACACACACACACACACACACTAGTAGCGATCAGTGAAGAGGCGGGGCCAGGAGCTTGGACTCGACCCCTGCAACCTCAACTAGGTGAGTACACACACACACACACACACACACACACACACACACACACACACACACACACACACACACACACACACACACACACACACACAGCCTGAGGCGCACATCACCCTAATACTCGCTGCAGCAAATGGACGTCTGGCAAATCAGAATCACGACACCATATGCGGCATCCGTCAGGCCCATACTGGAGTATACATCACCAGTATGGAACCCAAACCTTGGCATGCATGTCAGGAAACTGGAGAACGTGCAGATATTTGAATCGAGACCAGTTCTGGAGCTAAGAGGTATGTTCTATGAGGAGAGGTTAAGGAAACTCAACCTGATTACAGGAAAGGGAGACTACGGGAGATATGATAACGTACAAAGCAGTGAGAGGAATTTCTTAAGGTGGACAGAAACATATCGTTTAAGACACGAACGTGAGGGTACAGCTGGAAGCTGAGAATATGAGGAGTCACAGTGATGTTAAGAAGTATTTCTTCAGTCTTAGAGTAGACAGGAAGTGAAATGACCTGCAAAGTGGCATAATCCATGCATAGCTTTAAGAAGAGGTACGATAAAACTCTCGAAGCCAGGAGAGTGAATCCAGAAGCGGGCAGCGCCACACTTGCAGCATTACCACCACCACACATGCACCACCACACCTGCACCACCACCACACCTGCACCACCACCACACCTGCACCACTACCATCACCACCACACTTGCACCACCACCACACCTGCACCACCGCCACACTTGCACCACCACCACACTTGCACCACCACCACACTTGCACCACCACCACACTTGCACCACCACCACACATCGCACCACCACCATACCTGCACCACCACGACAAGAACACAACAAAAGGAGGGGTTTAAAAAGCAGCTCTCACGACCACATTTTAATTAAAACCTTGACTATGGAGTTCCTTTGAGGCTGTCTCATAATCCCCTCACCCCCTCCCCTAACCCCCTCCATTCCTTCCCCTCACCCCTCCCCTCTCCCGTTGTTTCAACCTCTCCATTCTCCCGTCAGCCTTTGCTCCACCTGGTCTGGGACCGGGCCGCGGGGGACAACGACCCCCCGAAAACATCCTTTAGATATCCCTCAGGTTCCCATTACCTAAGCAGCTCCCCCTATCTCTTTTCTATATATTCATTCTCCTTAATGTGTTCGACTGACCCAGGACGCCTAGGTGTTAACACCCAGTAGTTAACTCATACCTTGGCATTTTACACCTAGGAAAAAATCCATACTTATGAGTTATTTAACGGCCAGATGATAACGTCCGTGAGTTAGTTAACGCCTGCGTTAGTAAGGGCTAGTTAACACCTAGGTGTTAAGAAAAAATATGAATTAACACCTAGGCGTTAATTCACACCCAAGTGTTAATTTTGAATCACTTGTTGTTCCCTAGGAACAAGTGTAGGAATAGGGATATGACTCACGAAATCGTAATGACACGATTGCAAACAAACCATACCATGGGCGGGGTTAGAACCCGCGTGGCTAACGCGACGGTCTGTAGTTTTGACACACACTGATCGCGGGTTCTAACCCCGCCCGTGGTATGGTTTAATAGGGATATATACGGGGGGAGGTGGGAGGAGGGGTTTTCGGAGGGCTATAGGAGCCTCACAGTAAGTACTTTGCTGGCACTGTAAGGAATAGGATTGGTGTAGGGGTGAAGGGGGGGGGGTGCACGCCGGGTTTGTCACCTGGGGCGGGGCGGTCTGGGGTTGCATTGTGTACCTATGGCATGTTATTAGGTAAGACACATATGCAACAGTTAGGTATCTTTATTATGAAACGTTTCGCCTACACAGTAGGCTTCTTCAGTCAAGTACAGAAAAGTTGATAGAAGTTGACTGAAGAAGCCTACTGTGTAGGCGAAACGTTTCATAATAAAGATACCTAACTGTTGCATATGTGTCTTACCTAACAACCTGTCGGTATTTTATACCATTTTAATGTTCAACCTATGGCATAGCAGATCAGGGCAGGGGTGTAGTGAATCAGCATGAATGACAGTGTGGGAGTGGGGTGGGGGTCTGTGTGGATTGAAGGTGAGAGATGTTGGTTGCGGTGGTTGTGTGCGGTATGTGGACTGCTGGAGGAGTTGAGGAGCATACTTATGTTCTACAAAATATTGTCAAGTTTTAGGTATGTATATTGTACCTATGTATGTGCACTGTATATAACCAATGGTAAGTGTCAAGCGTGAGAAACCTGCGAACTGAATATTACTCTTAGCGGATGCTGCTATATGGTTCTTGTATATACATGTACTGTACCATTGTCGTAAGATGTCCCAACTTTCATTATTGTATTGTTAGTTTGAGAGTAGATGGATGGGCGAGAAATATAATCGGAGTGGGGGATACCCACCCTTTAGTGCTGGGGTGATCGTAGGAGATGGCAGGTTTCATTACCTATTGCGTATTAATTTGTGTGTGATATATGTATTGCATTTTGTTGTAATGTATTGATAGTTCTGATATATACCTAAACCACGACTGGTGTTAGTGGAGTGTGCAAGCGATCTTAATGATCGTGTTAATGTTTATATGTAATCTTATCTGCAAGGTTATAGCATGTGCCCATGTAAATTTTGTAAGCTTTAGAAATGGTGTGGGGGAAGGTTATTACATGCGTTTAGGGTTAGTACCTGTGTACTTTCATTGTGTGTAAGAAGTAGCGTCGGGCGTGAGTAGCCTGAGAACTGAATATTACTGGTGGATGCTGTTAAATGGACTATTGTATATACTTGTACTGTATCATTGTGATAAGATGTTGTTCCAACTTTCATTTTGTATTATTGTATTTATGTAGATGAATGGTTCAGAGAACAGACATGTTGATAAATTAGAAAAATGTGACACCACCTATGACTGCTGCACCTCTCCTGCCTACGGTTTATAAGCTGCTTCTCCGCACGTATGCCGTATTCTATTCAAGATTGATGGACTGACCACATCGACTCAAGGTTGAGGGACTGATTACCTCATTCTCCTTCTGTTCTTCAAGATTCTCCTTTGTATGGACTGATGAAGCCACTGTGTGGCGAAACGTTTCCTCAATAAAGATACCCAAGAGTTGCACATGTGTCTAATTTATCATCATTATCGTATTTATGTTGGGTGGAGAATAG